TATTCGGTTAGTTGCAGATCTTAGTTTGAATCATTAGTTTACAACGCCTACCCCACACACTTGATGCAAACGCATAAAGATAAACCCCAAATCAGCTTATCAGGTTCATAACCACCATCGGTGTACCATTTTAATGCTGGTTGTGGCAATCGGGGATAGTTAACTTGGCTCTAGCGAGTTAACTCTTGGCATGTAAAACTTGCTTTGTAGTATACCCTGCAAGTCTGGTGAAAGGCTAGTTCTGTCTGTACTTGCCTATCTCATGTTCATGGAATTAAAGTCTCAGGCCAGAACTGAAATTACGGGAGGTTTAGAGAGTCAAGGCACGACTGAGTTTGCATTTGCGATCCCGGCCTCCCCCGGAATTCTGACTAATACCTTCGACTTAGAATAAGTCAGGTCTGGGGAACTTCCTGGCTCTGGACAATAATTCATGACGAGATCAGGCTTAAGTGCGTGTCGCCATCAGAGGGCCGTTATTCAGCAGGAGTTGATATTTATAGTGTTTTTAAACGGAGATATGGTATTTCATTCATTCTGCGTCTTCCCTTCTTTTCTGGAGTGACAGTAACACATGAGAATCGAAGGCATAGCACGCCTGTGGTGATGCTTCAAAGTATCATGCTCTCTACGCCACAAAGGGGGCTGATGTTTATATTACCCACCCCTCTGTCCACCTACAGCTGACTGTTCTTTGAATCAGTGCTAATTTGCTTCCCCATTTCCAGTTTCTTATGAAGTACAATGACGTTATAAACACTCTGTTCGCCAATGACTCACAACTTTTTTCTCCAGACCTGAATCTGAGTTAAATATATAGAACACAACTGGTATCCCATCCACAGTGTGCCCCTGCCTTGGACCCTGTACATCTCCCACCTGGATAAATGCTTGAAAAAAAGATGGTTGGATGGATATATGACTGATATATGAATTCACTGTCCAATCCACAATCCTTTAATACAAAGATTTAACTACATCGAAGATATTTAGCTTCGTCAAAGACATTAAGCTACGTCAAAGGTATTTCCCAATGCAAGCTATGTATGTTAACTATGTGCTTCATTCTGGAAAGACCGGCTTTTGAAATAGCAGCCACACCATGCGAAAATGCTTTGGATTGGCTGACGGGCTACAAAATACGGAGGTTTGTTTCTCTTCCTCCATGATGTGTTTATAAATCAGGGGCATTAATGTGTGCTTGACCCCTGCGTGTCAGCCAGAGAGTAAAGAAAGACATGCTGACACAAGTGTCAGGCTTCTCCTGACCAGTCATCGCTTTCGGAAATGCTACGTGCAAATCTGCTAACTGCGCCCCCCCTATGAATGACTTAAACTCCTTGCCGCCCCTCCAGGAGGTCTTCTCTCTGCTCCACTAACAGTCTGCCACTCTTAATAGGATTAGCAAAATGCTAAAAGGAATAGCTAAAGTGCTATGACTGTCCAGTGAATGGCTACATGTTCAACCGACGTTGAAAGGCAGTTTTCAGGCTGCTTGCTCTGTATAATCATGGATTCTGTTTTCTATTTGATTTTTCATGCTTGGCTGCCCTTTCCAAAAACGGAGGCACGAGATGATCCGTGGTTAAATAAAAAAGTAACAGTATTTCTGCCAAAAGTACCAGAGGCTATTGGGGTTTCTCATGCTGATGCCATTCCTACCTTTTTAGGGAGGAAACGATGCGTTTGTGATTGTGGATCGTCCCGGAGATGAAAGATATGTCCAGGAGCCCCCGGATCGTGTTTCCGCCTGCGTGATGTCACCCCACTGAAGCAGGTCCTCGGGCTTTCTGCTTTAATAAGTGAGGTCCCGTATCCAATGACCTCGTGCTTAAAGCCCCAAGCTGCTTGATTTTCATTAAACATGCCATGTGTGACAGCAGCCTAAAGAAACTGCTCAGTGTCACATCTCTTGATTTGTCAAGTCGCCGATTTTCGAAACAGAGAAGCGCGGGGGAAGAAAACAGGCTGCGATTTGTCAACAAGGCCATCCGAATATGTCTGATACCTGCGAATGAATCATTTTTCCATTCTGGTGTACCGAACCAAAAGACAGGAAATGAAACACGTAAAGGAATAATCAAAAAGGAAAGAATTCAGAAAGCAACAGTGTGTTCTCTCTCTTTTTTATTCCACATTCCTACTCTAGGAATAACCTTGCTTTTTCTTTTCACTTCTGAAGTATCAAAATCTGCAACCACCATATTTCTGAACAAAATTAGAGAAAGCCATGCATTCTCATAGGGTTCTTTATTATCATCACTGTCAGCGCTCCACATTGCACGCATGCACTGAATTAAAGAGACAATTAATTACTCTGTCTCCATAGCAAGAACTTGCATTTGGACTGAGGTCAAAAACAAGCTAGTCGAAGCGGGTGCTATAACTCATTTTCAATAAAGGAGGCACATTATATATGTGCAAGAGAAGCAGTGACAGCAGAGCAGTATACTAATATGGGACCAGCAGCTACATATAGTGTGTAATAATTCAATGTGTCCAAGCAGGAGATTCTTACAGGAAGAAGCCTTTGATACTTGCAGGAAAGAGTGTTTGCTACTTTGTTACTTGCAGGAAGGAGTCTTTGCTATTTTGCTACTTACAGGAAGGAGCCTTTGTTCCTTTGCCATTTGCAGGAAAGAGTCTTTGCTACTTTGGTACTTGCATGAAAGTCTGTTATTTTGCTGCTTACAGGAAGGAGTCTTTGTTACTTTGTCATTTGCAGGAAAGAGTCTTTGCTACTTTGGTACTTGCATGAAAGTCTTAGCTACTTTGCTGCTTACAGAAAGGAGTCTTTGTTACTTTGCCATTTGAAGGAAAAAGTCTGCTACTTTGCTGCTTACAGGAAGGAGTCTTTGTTACTTTGCCATTTGAAGGAAAAAGTCTGCTACTTTGCTGCTTACAGGAAGGAGTCTTTGCAATTTTGCTACTTGCAGGAAGGAGTTTTCGGTACTTGCTGGAAAGAATTTTTGTTACTTTGTTAGTTAAAGAGTATTTATTTGTTGGCTTGACTTATACACCTTATACTGCTGCCACTGGCATGTTCTTGCTAATTATTTGTCAGGAATTTTGTGGTAATCATATTGACATATACAGTATATCACAGACTTCAGCTTGGCAAAAGGTGAACATATTATCTCTTTGAGGAGATCTCTAACTGGTTATCCAGCACTGGGTTACGTGGGTGGCCTGGTTCCTATCCCAGGCAGCATGGGACACAAGGTAAAGCAACACCTTGGGCTGCTGTTTGGAGGGGGGGGGGGGGCGTGAGTTAGGAGCTAGGACAACTCCAAGGGCCCCTGAGTAACAAGGATCCTAAAAATTTTGGAACACCACTGGATTGGTCTGGGTTGGGGGGCCAATGTTTTGCTGTCCCTGTTAAATCCTTGATTTTTATTTTTATTCTGTTGTTAATATTTTTAAATTGTTGCACAAAAAGCAATGTGAACAAAATTTTATTATACTGCAGTATAATGACGAGAGTTCTCTTTATTAGGAGAAAAGCGCATACAAATTAGGACATTCAGAGATACTACTTAGCCTACTGCATGCCTTTGGGCTGCAGGAGAAAACACACCTGACAAAGCATGCAGACTTCATACAAACATAATGGAAGTGGGATCTGAACTCCAACCCCGGAGCTGAAAGGCAGGAGTGCCCCGCCATATTGTACAATGACAGTCTTGGTAAACAATTCATATTTTTAAAATACTTGCTTTCCACACTTTTAATTATGTTTAACCCTGGGGAACCCAGACCACCTTATCATTATAGGAAAAATATTGGATAAAATTATCATACAGGCCCAGTGAACTCAAAAACAGGTATTTTGTAAATATAACCCTTTCCCAGTCCATGTTATGAATGTGTCATATACGACCCGCTGGACTGTTCATGCTGTTCCAACCTGTTAATTTCACGTATGAAATTAGGACAGAAAAGAAGGAAAAACCAAATCTTTGCAACATTCTCATTTTCAAAATGCATTTATTGAGTTTTCCTTTTCATCATTCACCATGTGCTGGCAATAAAACACATGCTTCAAACATGCCAACCCATCAAGAAACAGGTCAAGTGAACAGACCTACAAAAAGGTGTACTACACACAGAAAGTTTACTTGTGGTGGGTTGTAAGGTCTGGTGCACCACCTGTATTTCCTCTGTTTTTGTCTGAGGCTGATATTGAGCACATGGAACATGATCATCACAGTTGCCAGAAAAGTTTCAAAACATCCAAATCCTAGCTGTACATGTTCTATAGCATCTAAACATTATAACTGATGATGCAAAATTTCTGCCATTTAGCTATTCACAGCTTGACAGGTGAATCTTTGCAGCATGTACAGAAACAACCTCAAAACGAGTTGGGGGCCATATTTATTGTGGAAAAAAATCTGGTTAATTCAGTCAGTAATCACTAAATGTCACTGTTACTGGGTACAAGTACAATGGTACAATGGGCTGTAAAGCAAAAAAAAAAATCTTAACTTTGATGAGTGGGTTGAATGTAAGGCAGAAATAAAAGGAAGGGTCGTATATGACACCGTGGGTTCTCCAGGGTTAATATCTTAATCAGGTTTTTTGGAAAGAGATGTAATAAATGTATTCGCAGATTATTTCACAATTTCGTGAAGAAACTACAAAAAGTAGTTCATCGATTAAGTCGTGAAATTGCTCTATCGAATGTTTTACCGAAGTACCACCGAAGCAGATAGTCTCCGTATTTCACATGTTTATGTTCACATAAACCAACCGTTTGCTGTCGCAGCCGACGAACTTACACAATTATGAGAGGCCAGCCGAGCAAACAAATCCTCTCGCTGTTGTTTGTCGCCAAAGTCGCAGGCATCGAAGGCCCCGCCCGCGACCCATCCTCATTGGCTACACCGCCACTCCGTAATGCTCGCCACGCCCTCAAGCAGCCAGTAGTATGCCTTCTGATAGGCTGTTCCATTCAGCGACCACCCCCATCCTGCCCACCCCCTCCCCGTGGGCCACCTCCCCGTGTCGCTCCTGCCAAGCAGAGTGGGACGTCGGCTGTTGCACCCAGTTGCCAAACGATAGAAAAAGGTCTTCGCGTTCCGACAACATTTTACATGCACGCATATGTACGCGACCGAGGAAAATAACACCTAAACCAATTTGAAGTGGACTCGAAACGGTCGGAAAAACCATGCTTATCAGCAGCTGACCGCGGAGGAGGAAACTATACTAGTTGTCGCTGTTTTTGTATAGTTTCACTCGCCTTTTTTCTTGGTTTGAAGGGGAACACCTAAACCCACGATCGGAGAACTCTGCGTTCACCTTCCCAGTTTTGCTGCCTTGTTGTTTTTATTGTTTTGCCGCAGTAAATTCGGATCTTTAAAAAATGTGTACTTGCGGGAAATGTAACGAAGTACAGGCTTTCGCGGACAAGCTGTTATGAAACACCTGCTTGTTATTTAGGCAGTTTAACTTTTAGAATCATCTAGATTTTTAAACGGCGATCTTTAATACAGTGATTGTGATTGCTCCAACCCACGACGGCGAAGCCATTTGACCGAGGGTCGGACCCTGGAGTGACAGCTTCTACCCCCGAAATGCTCAACAGCGACCGATGCTACTCCAGTCTTTTGCCCCGTATTCATCGGAGTTGTTGTGAAATGAAACTTTACCCCGCACCTAATTGATGGGTTGCTCCGCATCGCCTGCTCCTTTTGTTTTGTGCCGTGTCGCACGTAAGCGTTTGATCCCTAAAGAGGAATTTTAAGATACATATTATTATTATTATTTTAAGTGTCAAGGAAATGGCAACTGCACTCAGCGGACGGAATCCAGGGGGCCGCGCTCCAAATGCACGCAAAGGCGGGATATTAGGATTCATTGACGCGATCCAGGACGCCGTGGGGCCGCCGAAACAGGCCACCGCCGACCGGCGCACGGTAGAGAAGACGTGGAAACTCATGGACAAAGTGGTAAGTGCCCGGCGCGGCCACGTGTGCCGCGGAGCCGCGCGGCGGTGCCGCGCCGGATAGGAGCCGACGCGCGCGGTGCGCCCGGCCACCTGGGGGTCTGCTCCTCCAGCGTCCCGACTCGGGTTTGGCGATGGCGCAACCGGCCTTTCCGCCCAACTCGTCGCCGTTTCACGCCCTTGCCTTTTGCTGATAAGGAGCCCGAGGGACGGATCGGTGTCTGCTGGATCGGGGCGCCTCCCGCCGGCTTCCCCAGCTCCCCCGCATTGATATTCTGGTTGTTCCGATCCACTGTACGCGATGGGATCGGTGTTGGCTGAGCTGCTCCGAACCGGCCAGTGCTGTGTTGCGATGGCAGCGAAATTAGAGGGGGCGGGTGGGTTCAGTAACAAGAGAAGCATGTGCATTTGTTTTCGTCTTAATTAGTCCTGGCTAATTAATACCCAGGTCTTAAGGCAGGATGGTGTCCAGATGTCAAGATTATGCATTTATATGCAACAAAGAATTTAAAGCGCATTTTCTCACTCTTTTTGTGCTTGGTTGAAGATCTTGTGTTTTGGTATTTGTTTAGTAGGATTGGCGCACACGTAGTGCACTGTAGCTTTACTCAATACGGTTCACTTCTTACTTAACCACCCCAAACGTGCTTAAACCGCCCCGCCTATTCACAGGTGAGACTTTGCCAGAACCCCCGGCTGCAGCTGAAAAACAGCCCCCCTTACATCCTGGACATCCTACCTGACACCTACCAGCACCTGCGCCTGGTGCTCTGCAAGAACGAGGACCCCCAGAAACTGGCCCAGCTCAGCGAGAATGAGTACTTCAAGGTCTACATTGATAGCCTCATGAAGAAGTCAAAGCGAGCAATCCGCCTCTTCAAGGAGGGCAAGGAGAGGATGTACGAGGAGCAGTCGCAGGACAGGTGAGGGAGCCCCCCCCCCCTTCTTGTTGCCTAGCCCCATGGATAAATGCTTTATTGCCTCTGCTTTATAAACCCATAGTTGACAGTGAGGCCGCCACACGGCTAAAGTCGTCCTGTGTATGTGTCTGTGTCAAGTAGACACGTACAGCGATAATTCATCTGGTTAGTCACTTGTGCCCCTGTGAACCTGTTAAAAAAACCCGCTGTTTCCTGTTATCTTTTTCCTCTATTTGCTTGTGCTTCCGCCACGTTAAGGCTGCTCCTCTGCTTTGAGAAAGTGGCTTTGTTTCGCTTAGGTTATGATCCGGCAGGCTGTGGATTAAGAGTCCATTTGTCGAGGCAGTCGCGTTTTCTTTGCTCTGAATGTCAGTGGGTTTGCTTGGCAGTGTAATCGTAGGTTAGATGGAGTTTAGCTCTTTCATTCTCGTGGTCTTCCTGCCTAGGGACGGGGTGCGGGGGGAGGGTTAAACAGGGTAGAGCAACAGAGGCAAGCAAGACTTGGCCTGTTTGGACGCCCCTTTCAGGCTTCTGGATGGGGAAACGCATCAGTTTGACTTCAGGAATGGTGCCGACAACAGGTCGGGGACGTGATGGACCCCCTCCGGATGGCGGGCAGATGAGAGTGGAAAGTGGAGGCAGCTTCAGCCATTTATAAACGAGAATCCGGCGTTTGCGGAGGATCTTAAGTTCCTGGAGTATAAAAGAGGGGAGATTGCTGTGGGGATCTGTGGGTGCAAATGGCGGCCTAATCTTAACCCCCCTCCCCCAATGGGGAATGCCTGGGGTTTTATTTACATCAAATGGGTCTAATTAGGGATACTGTTCTCATTTAAATCTGTTTTAATAGGTTTTTGAAGTCGTTTTACTCGAAACAATGAAGCAATTTGACATCTTTCTTCTGTTGAGTTGAGGATAAATGCTGAGTCAGCGGTGACCTGCCGGTGAGCGTAAGGTCAGTGGAGGGTTTGGGTGCCTGGAGGCCAACTTCTCTCTGTGACTCTGATCGCATGATGTTCACATGGCTGTGAAGATGATTAGAGATGGAGACGGAGGTGGTGGGTCAATGCGTCTTACATCGCTCTGGGAAACAGATGGAGCAAGATGCAAGCCGGTGGGGGGGGTGGGAGGGTGTTATAACCGGGTCTCCAGCAGTCTAGACATCCATGCCCCCCAGAGCCCTACTTAGCTGAATAACACCATGTGTCGTGCCAAGCTGTTGGGAGGGGACCGTACAGTACATTGAAATAGGGCTGCCTGGGAGGCCCTGGCCAAGCAGGGTGATGAAGAGATCTCTTCCATTACAGCTATGCCTTGGGAGGCTGATGTAGCACTCATGACACGGCCATTTTGGTTGCGTTTTGGTCTCTGTGCCTTTGCTAGATTTCCCACGGAGCGAGTACCTTGCATGTCAGCCTCAAACTGGTGACCGCGATCTCCCTGTGGCTGAGGATTTTCCCCTCCATCAGCCTTGCCTCGGGAGATCAGACACATCTCGCCGGGTCATTTCCTGTTGCGGCAGTTTTTTTTTTTGGGTGGATATCGTGCTTTCGTGTTTTTTTTTTTTAAGAGGTTGTTCAGTGTGTCCCGTAACAGACTCCCTGAGGTGCTCTGAAAGTCGATCTAGTTAGCGGGGGGTGTGGGGGAGGCGGGGGGTGTTTCGCTCCTCTCATGACTGGAGCCCCTTTGATCAACCAAACAGTTTCTGACTTTTAATACCGAGGATAGGGATTAGGAAAATGCGAGAATTTCTTTTCCGCTTCGTCGCGGCCATTTAAAAAGTCAACGGCTCGTTTGCCGGCTTCTGGAGCTGTGCCGTGGTTTGGCTGCACTCTTAATTAATCGTACCTAGGGCTAATTAAGAACAGAGCACAGGTCCCGGGGCCGGATTTATGTAACTACGCCAGCTCTGCAGCTGGGAGCGGATTAAAGATTGAAGGACCTGGAACAATCCAATACAGCGCCTTTGACACTTCCTGAAGAAGTCGCAGAAGTTAAACAGTTCTGTGGTTTGACGTCATGAATTAAACATCACAGCCGGTGAAAGGCGGCACGTCGATAGGGAAACTAGTGCAGGAAAGCTGAAAAGCAGGGGATGCAATCTCCAGCAAGGTGTCCGGTGGCGCCGACTCGACCCGGCGGGTTGGCTGGACTGCGCCGCCTTTGAATGATTATTTATTCTGAAAGTTGGCCAGGGTCTGTGCTCTGAAGGCATTATCATCAATTAGCTATGACATCGGAAGGGGGGGGAGGCCCAGACAGGGCAGGGAGATGAGCGAAGGGTAGATGGAGTTCAGAGGGGGGGAGGGGCGTATGTTTGTGTCTGTTGATGTTATCTGCCTTGGCGTGAGGGTTTGGCCACATGCTGGCCTGCTGTATCACCTGTGGGGGTTCTGAGTGTCGCCATGGTGACGCGTCACTGGGCGTCCCATATCACTGAGGCATCAAGGAGCTGTCATGTATGCTGAGAAGTGCAGTGGGGATCCCCTCTGCTGGCCTTAGGGGGTGAGGGGGGATCTGTTTACCTCTCAGCTGAAGATCACTGAAACGAGTGTGTGTCTGTCTGTGTGTGTGTGTGTGTGTGTGTGTGTATGTTTTGGCTGCTCATAAGGGCCCCCGCAGAACTGGGCCAGTAAAAGGTGGCCTTTAATAAAGACGCAGCTGTTTGGGCTCCACCTTCATATCCCCACAAATTCAGACAGTTTTGTTTCTCCACCATGTACCTGAAGGAAACACTGTCTGGCTCTGGTGTTGGCTACTGTTGGATTTGCGCAGGGAGGGGCGGGGGGCTGGGGCGGGGGGGGGGGGTTGAGGTCCCTGCCAAACCTGTTTTTCAGTATCCACTGTACCAGGTACCACACTTCTGGTAGTTTTAAAAGTTTGTTTTCCACTGGCGTGGAAAAACTGGTACTGGCGCGTAATGACATCATCACAATGTACGCCGTGGGCTGGGCAGTACTATTGACATTGCATGTTATCGCAAGGGTTGTAATAGTCAGCTGGGTTGGTGCAGTTTTTTCTTACCCTCTTACTGTCAGGACATTATGGCCTGGGGGGGGGGGGTTAGTTTTACTAAAACATTTTTACTTTGTTATAGGAAACAAAACTGATCAAGTTTTGCAATTTTAATGGTTGTTCCTTTTCAAGATCATGTTTAAAAATCAGTTTGAAGTTTTACCTCCACTGCTTTTGCATGAGCGCTCATAGATCCCTCATAGATGGGAAATCTGTTTATTTCATTTCAATAAATATTGGGATAGTTGAAAAATTTCCAATTCTGTGCAGTAGATTTTGACCAGATCACAATTAAAGCTGGAGTTTTTTCATTTGTCCACGCATGCATTTTCCTTACTTATTCTATTTCACTTAGCTTATTATTGTTATCATTGTTTTCTAACTGTTTTTTTCCTCATGACTGATTGTATTGTTTCAGAGACAAGTTATTTGCATAACCGATTGACAATGCACAGGTTTACCCCAAAGCAGTCCCCACCCCAAAAGTTGCAAAGGAGCCCCCAGCTAGTTTGGTGTTTCAGGACTGGTACTGGACTAATCAATGGAAAAAAGGAAAGTACAGATTATTTTTTAGTACCAATATTTTGGTTCCTGGTGCAGTGGAAAAGTGCCCTGAGCGATTCCGGAAGAGACTTCGGTCTCTCACTGGCGGAGTTAAGCTGAGCAGATGGTTTTGCAGGTGTGTGTGGGACCTGCAGATGTGTGTTTCCTGGGGGAGATGGGGTGGGTTTGAGGGGTGTTACGGTAATGAGGCTCAGTCAGCGAGGCATATGTCAATCAGAAGTAAGCGGGCTTTGCCGTGTGAAAGGTCACGGGCACTTTGCTGTTTGGCGGGAACCATTCTTCGTGGGTGAGCGCGGTTTCACGCCCTGGATTATTGTGTTTACTGGGTCCCCGGTTTTCAGAGGCACGTGTGGCGCTCCTGGTCGCCGGCTCCGTCTCCCTTTGTTCTGCTGGCTCTCCAGCTCGTCCCTCTTTGTGTTTCTGGGCCCCAGTGGTGCAATTAGCTGGCTGCCGTTTTGAATAAATTGCTGGCAAACCCCTTCTGAGCAGTCATGCCCTCTCTCTGGGGAGCCAGCCGGTCCAACACCCCCCCCCCCCCCCCGCCTTGGATGGTCTGCTTGCCATCCACGCGCCAACAAAGAGGGCAGGGCCACTTTCCGACGGGGTGGCTGGAAGTTTCCGGAAGGAACTGCATCATCCCTGAGGGCCACAGAAGGGGGGGTGCTCGTGTAATTAGACGTGGCATGGCTGTCGTCACGACCAAAAAGGGGAAAAATTGGATGCGTACCTGGGATGTGTCTGGCGGCGTTTAGTTTCACTGCATGTTTTCGTTTTTCTGAAAGATTTGTCTGCGTTGAATTCGTTTCACTGCCCTGGTGAACGAAGGCTGAAACGAATGTCTAGTCAACGACTTGCTGGCGGCTGCTGTCTCGCCCATCCCTTTAAAGGTCTCGTTTTACTTTCTGCCACGCTTTCTTCCCCCTCCCCCTTTAATTACTACCCTCTTCTGCTCGAACACCCAGATGTGGCGAAGCTAAGGTTAATAAAATGTTAAAAACATGCGGTGTTGTCTAGAGAGAGCATGGGGGGGAGGATGTCACGGTGGTTGTTTTTGATATGCGGCGCCGTCTCGATTGTGGCCGGCTCGAATGTCCTGGAGGTGAAGGCCCCCCCCAGCCCCCACCCCTACTATGGCTCTGCCTTTCAAGTCCTAATGAGAACCACGCGTGGGTCGGGGGGCAGCGGGACGGACCCTGTGCCACAGCCTTGCCGTAATTTCATTAACGGTGACAGACGGGGCAGCTTTAAAATTCTCACCAGTTTGTTTTTTTTTTTTGTGGGTCCGGTGTCAGGGATGGTTCCAGGTTTGTGTTTTTTTTTCTTCCATCATCCCTTCTGACTTTAAGGAAAAGCAGAGGATGTCGGGGGGGGGGGCCCAACATCCTGCTCACGTTTCCTGTCCTTTGTCAGCGAGTGCTGAAGTT